GAAGCATTTTGATGGAAAAATGTAAAAGGACACTTGCTGTTTTTGTATTGGCAGTGGTGGTGGTTGTTGCTCTTTAATAAAATTGCGCAATTTTTACACGATATCACACATGATTACTACTTGAATGATCTAATCCGATTGAGTGCGTCGCATCTCCTCGGCAAACTCTCGCTGGCTCNCAATTTTTACACGATATCTACACATGACTACTACTTGAATGATCTAATCCGATTGAGTGCGTCGCATCTCCTCGGCAAACTCTCGCTGGCTCTGGCGGATAATCTCATCATTTCTGGCGTACTTGGCCGTCTTTTTCCGCCACTCGTAGAGCACCGGTGTGTAGAAGGAGGGCGAGTTGAAGATGATGAAGGAGGACAGTGGCAGGGCGATGTACACGCCAATCTTGGTCACCTCCAGAATCCAGTGGCCCATCTTGACGAGAAGAAGTTGGGGTGAGGAGATTAGCGTGAAGATTGACGAGACCAGTGGATCAGGTGACTTTATTTACTGAAATCAAAAATATACGTCTTCTGTGAAGCGCCCTCGAGCGATTTTGATTTGTTTCTCCACTTTTCTCTCACTTAGTTCGTCTCTCTATCGNTGAAGATGATGAAGGAGGACAGTGGCAGGGCGATGTACACGCCAATCTTGGTCACCTCCAGAATCCAGTGGCCCATCTTGACGAGAAGAAGCTGGGGTGAGGAGATTAGCGTAGAGATCCAAACATCGAGAATCCACCGCTGTGGATCAGGTGACTTTATTTACTGAAATAACAGATTTACGTCTTCTGTGAACCGCCCTCGAGCGATTTTGATTTGTTTCTCCACTTTTCTCTCACTTAGTTCGTCTCTCTATCGCTGGTGTCCTTCGCCGTGTTTACGTTCGACCCTGCATCGTTCATCAGCATCACCATCACCGCCGTACCATCGCCGTCTTATCAGCAGCCTACACTTTGAAAGTACCCTGGTTCAGTACACCTCCTCCTCTCCTCTTGTGTACACACTACTCTCTTCTTCGTCTACTTGCTCCCACTTCAACTCGGCCTCTCGTACTCTCTCACCCACCCACAACTGCTATCACTCACGTACTGAAGTCGACCATCAGGTCGAGACGTTCCTCGCTTTCCTCGTTCACATCTCTTTCTCTCAAGCTGATCTCAGATCAGCTTTACTTTGTGTTTTTCTTCTTTCTGCCTCACTTGCATATGATCACCTGAATTGCGCATAGCACAGTAGTCGACATCAGTACCACTTCGTGTCGTCAATGGACAGTAACAAACAGACTCTCAAGTAAGTATTTGCAACACGATGCGATGAAATGGCTCGCGATGAAATGGTTGTGATGAAATGTTCCCCCACCATTGACACGTATAGTTAATTTGTTTTCATTTTCGTTTTCCCCAGAAGTGAATATGCCTAATTTTCTGGAAGCACCGCTCTTGCCACTTCCCAGCTTGCAGACGTACTCGAGCATTAGCTTAGTGTTCCTCTCCTGCTCGCTGTACTATGCTTTTCAGATCACCTCAGAACCGAATTGGAAGTCAAACAGTTCATATGCAATTAACGATGTCGAACAGAATACTCTCAATGAGGCCACACAGCTGAATGACACTCTTTCCAGAACTAACTTCTTTAGTGATCTTCTTGAACGCCACAATGCGTCGCTCATCATCAATGATCTGTTTCAAAACCAACACTTCCTCCGTCTCTACGACGTGGGCTATATCATGGTCCACGAGCCGCTGTGCGTGTGGACCCTTATCAACATGGGCTACTGCTTGCTGATTCTGCTGGGAAAAGTCATCCAAAAACTCATATTCGGAGACCTTCGGGCGTCAGAGCATCAGCTTCTGCGAGACAAGTTTTGGAACTTTCTCATCTACAAGTTCATCTTTGTCTTCAGCGTCATCAATGTGCAGTACATGGACGAGCTGGTCCTATGGTGCGCATGGTTCTCCGTTTTGGGGTTCATGCTCGTCCTCACCTACCTCTGCAAGGAACGCTTCAACTATCTGACATTCTCCCCAGCAGTCTCTAAGTGGGTGCACGTCCGACTGCTGACGCTTCTGCTGCTGATTATATCATCCACCATACCGCTGTTCATTGTCGGCATAATCGTCGGAATGCACACTAACTTCAGCATTGGCGCATTCCTCATCTCCGAGTGCACACTGCTGTTCCTGCGAACCATCTACTGCGTCATTCTCTACATGATTCACCTGTGGGACATCAGTCGAGAGTCAATCTGGGAGAAGCGGGCCTCAATCACCTACTACATTGAGCTTACTTTTGATCTCCTCATTCTCTCGATTGAGTTTTGCCATCACTTCCACATGCTCTTCTGGGGAAACATCATCCTTTCCGTCTCCACGCTGGTTATCGTATTTCAACTCCGGGCGCTCTTCAACGATATCAATCGGCGAATCAAAAAGCACAAAAATTACCTTCAGGTAAGTTTTTCCTCTGTTTGCTTGCTGCTGTATTTGTTTTTCACAACTTTTCCTTGTCCACCTCTACAGGTATTGAATTTGATGGAGGAAAATTTCTCCGTCGCTTCAGATGATGAGCTGGCTCGTAACAACGATGACTGTGCTATTTGCTGGGATCAGATGAAGGCGGCTCGCAAGTTGCCCTGTGGCCACCTCTTTCACACCACGTGCTTGCGCTCTTGGCTGGAGCAAGACACCAGCTGCCCCACTTGTCGCCATTCACTGCGACACCGGGAGGATGATATCAATGAACCGCCGCCTGCAGAGGGAGAAAATGGCGCTGAGCCGGCTCGGGGACTGTTTGGCAACGCCGCTAACCACCGCTTCGCCAACCACTTCTTCCACTTTGATGGCTCCAGATATTCTCGCTGGCTGCCCAGCGTCTCAGTGGAGCTGTCCAGTTCGAGTGTCATCAACATCAACGCCTCGCTGAACCGACCGGAGTTTGTGCCCGACTTTGGTCAGCAGCAAATGGAGTTTATGGGTCAGCAGGTGCTCGAATGGTTTCCCCAAATATCACTGAACACCATACTAGAGGACCTGAGAAATACTCGTTCAGTGGAGCACACAATTGAAAACATACTGGATGGCCGCTTGCCCACCGCCCCTTCCTCCAATGAAGCCTCCACATCCAGTTCAGCATTTTCCACCACCCCAACTGACGGCCCCTCTGAGCAGCCCCTCCCAGTACCCTCATCTCCACTTGAGCCAAGCACCTCTACTTCCAGGTAGCTACCTACTTACCACTAACTAGAGAGTTGTTCTCTAACGACTTTTTCACTAGAATGGGAGGTGGCAGCGGGGCAGTGTACACTCTTCGATTTAGAAGTTCTGAAGCTCGAAGCGAGACAGTTCCCTCTGAGCCAGTGCCTGGTCCCTCGTCGAGAGCAATTATCGATGAGCAGCGACCGAGTACGAGTTCATATTTGCCAACACCCCCTCCCCCAATAGTCAGTGACGAGGGAGATAATCGAAGTGAACAGAGCACTGAAGAGGCTCCTAAAACTTCTCCTCCTCCTCAATCGGATGACATCCAAGAGCTGGGAAGTCGATTTTTACAACTCAGTTCTGACGAGCGGAGAAGTTTGCTAACGCAGCGAAGAGATGAGATGGTTGCAAAGGCCCGACAAAGGTACCTGCAAAAGAGTAGCAACAACAACGACATGTGATCTGCGAAAAGATGTACGTATACACAAACAGTCTATACCTACACACAGTCAATTCTGTCACTGTGACAGTTTCCTCCTCTTTCTTCTGTGACTGCCAAGACCGGGTAGTCGGTGAACGCTTTATTTTTGTATTTCCTATTTATACACCTTCTGTAAATATTCTTAAACCGTGCCCGAGAGTTAATCTGTGACTGAAGGGCAAAAGTCTTCTCTCCTCTCTCTCTCTCTTCCCTCTGTTCTAGTGATATTACATAGTCGTAGACTGAACGCGTCACAGACACACACACCACTGTACAAAAACCCTTTGTTGACTGAATCATTCTTCAAGCTTTAAATTGTTTTTATTTTCAAAAATGCAAAAAAGCTAAAAATTGAAGTTGATCAGAGAGTGAGAGAGCGAGAGATTGTGTTTTGGCCAATGGTTCACGGCAGTGTGTTGGCTGTGTATGTGCAAGAGAGAGGGTGTGTAGAGTGTAAGAGTGTTTGGGAGTGAAAGAGAGAATCTATGTACAGAAGGGGAGAAAATGAATGAATGTACCACCACGGCTTCTCAATCTCGGGATCCCATCGATGGGAGTGACCGCAAAAAAGTGGACAAAAAGTGACAAGTGTCAGTAGAGTAGTAGAGTAGTTGGTAGTCGCCGAAGGTGTACGCGGTGGTAGCAGCCCTTTTAGAAGTAGTAGCCCTGCAGTGGCTGCTGGTGATTGCCAGCAAAGGCAATGGGCATGTCCAGCGGCAGTGTCACCTCGCGGATGGTGCTCGCCTGGGCGCCCACCGGCGAGTAGCCACTGGAGGAGGATGAGGAGGAGGGAGCCACGCGGAAGCTGGCGATGGGAATGCCCAGTGACCTGCTCGGGTAGTTGGGCCGGGAAGAGGAGGAGGAAGATGAGCCAGTTCGGAAGGACGAACTGGGCTGGGAGCGGTGGCTACTTGAGGAGTGGCCGCTCGTGTAGGCACTCGACGGCGAAGAGGAGGAGGAGGAGGATGGAGAGAAGCCTGAGGATGAGCCGCCAGAGTTGAAATTGGATCCAGAGCTGGAGCTGAAGCTGGGACTGGAGGAGGACGAGGAGGAGGGAGCCACGCGGAAGCTGGCGATGGGAATGCCCAGTGACCTGCTCGGGTAGTTGGGTCGGGAAGAGGAGGAGGAAGATGAGCCAGTTCGGAAGGACGAACTGGGCTGGGAGCGGTGGCTACTTGAGGTGTAGGCACTCGACGGCGAAGAGGAGGAGGAGGAGGAAGATGGAGAGAAGCCTGAGGATGAGCCGCCAGAGATGAAATTGGACCCAGAGCTGGAGCTGAAGCTGGGACTGGAGGAGGACGAAGAGCCAGAAGAGGAGGATGAGGAAGAGGAGGGTGAGAAGTCATTGGAGTTTGAGTTGTAGTCGTCGTTGGAGGACTCGGTGTAGGAGGGTGGGGTGAATGCCTCCGGGGTGCTGAAGGCAATGGGCCGCTTGGTGGGCGGTGGCTGTGGTTGGTAGGAGGAGATCGGTCTGCTGGCTGGCTGCTTGTACACCGGCTGACGGGGCAGTGGCTGACGGACTGCCTGCGTCGACGGAGTGTACGAGGAGGAAGAGGGTTTGTGGTGGGCGCGGGGGCGAGGTCGAGGCTGCTCCTCCTCGTAGTCCGCCGAATCACGGTCTGCCGCCGACTCTCGCTCTCTGGCCTTCTGCAGGGCGGCGGCGGCCTGTGCCTGGAAGATCTGCGTCACAGTGTCGCCACCGCTGACGTCGAAACCTTCCGGGTAGAAGCGCTGGTGATAGAGGACGGTGTTGTTGGGGCCGCGTTCGTTTAGTTCCTGAGGTGCGAGAAAAAATAGGGTTTAGTTTGCTGTTAAAGAAAGAGATATAAACTCTTATCTACCTTATGAAGGTAGTCATTGACGACGTGGAATTTGGAGGACTCGCGACAGATGTCCTGAGTGTTGGGCACGCAGTTCAGGTGAATCTGGTGGAAGACGGTGTTTTCCGGGCATTGCCAGCTGCAATACAAAGATAGAATTGTTGTATACATTTTCTAACCACCAAACTCTTACCTGTGCTTGACTCCATCAACGCAGTAGTGGAAGACCTGGCAGCCGACGCTCTCGTCGGCGTAGTAGCCATTCTTCAGGTCATTACAGGCAAACTTGGACTCTGCCAGGAGCAGCGCCAGTCGGTCTGGCTTCTTGTCCTCCTCGTCCTCTTCCGTCTTCTTCTCATCATCGTCATCGGCGGCCGCCTTCTTGTTGTTGCCGCCCGACGAGGATGAGGGCGCGTATCGAGATCGCTCCGAGGAGCCTCGCCCGTATCCGGAAGAGCTGTACTCGTTGGGGTCGGCCACTGAGGCGGAGTAGGACTGGGCGGCTGGCTTCAGCTGTTCAGTGCTGTCGCTCAGCAGTTTGATGATCTCATTGTACTTTGACTAACCGGGGAAGAGTGAACATGAAAGAAAGAAGATGAAAGTGGGGGATTAATGTTCAGCAGTCGTGTTGGGACAGTGGTGTTCGCACATTTCGGAGACACTTCTCTGTCCGTATAAATAGATAGTGCTGTAATTAGTCAAACAAAAAATACCTCTTGCTGTTCGGCGGCGGCGGCGATGATTAGGGCGCAATGCGCCACAGCGCAGAGCAGTAAGGCGTATCTCAATTTCATGGTACGACGGCGACGACGACTGGTTGAAATACAATTTGGTCGGTAAGATCACAGCTGGCGGATGATGATGATAGCGGCGGCGGCGGATCAACACTGGTCAATACAAGACAGTTTGAAAAACAGCAAACTACAGAAAAAAGAACGACACTGAGAAGAAGGGAACACACCGATCACTGAGTGATCTCGACAGGCAATGGCCACTGCTACTCCAAGTGCGCCCTATTTATAAATGGCCACCTTTTTTGAGTGAGTCAAATGGCGGCGGCGGTATGGCCCACAGTGAGGTGATCACTGGGCAGACGAGAAGAGGAGGAGGAGAGTGCAAAAGAGAAAGTGAACAACAGTGCAAAATGTAAGAGCAGCTGGTGCAAGCAGCGGCAATCTCAAGAAGAAGAAGTTGGAGAAAGAAAGAGAGAAAGTTGTTCGTTCGACAAAAGTCGTGGTCAGACGACAGCGAGAGTCTTCCAGACTGAAAACGACAAAGAGAGAAAGTGCAACAGTGCATAGTCCCTCATGTCTTCTTGAAGAGCATGGCCACCTACATCAGTGGTAGTTGTTGGTACTGATGTTGTTGCTGGTGATGATGGTGGTTATTACCATGGTTATTAATAAAGTACTGTCACTGGGTATGTTTAAGCCATTGTCTGCTGCTGCTGATGTCCGTGCTGCTTTGTGCGCCAATTTTAGGCGCTTTTTTCAGTTGAAACACCAAACTCGTTACTTCTCGAACCTGCATTTAGCACGTTGCCACTTAATCACACTTAGGAGATCTAAAAACACAACAGCTGATTTCACTATTACTTTGTTTCTTTTTATGTTGGCAGTTTTCTCAAAACTGCACCAGTTTTGGGCTTTTCTCTTAAAGTTGTGTTTACTGTTTGTTGCAAAAACTTGACAAGTCAAATCTGATCGGAAGTACCTTTTGTGTGCTGTCGCTGCCAGGTTAGCATGCCGAGGGATAAATCAGGAAATAAACTGAACTAATAACTGTTTAAATTTGGTTCGCTTGCATGATCGACGGACAGTGGTCAAAGCAATCCGCAGCTCTCTTTTCAGATTAGCTCAGGTGATATTCTTCTTCTTTCACACCTTTGTGCTAGTTGTCTGGCAATCTGCCCGGTTGGCTGTCACTGTGAATAAACCGTCAATTTGTTTTCAATTTCACCGTCCATTAGGCGCTAATGCACTCACATGGGCTGAAACTAAGAAACAAGCTCGGACCTGTTGCGCAACAGAGACGGCGGAGCATTAATCAGAAGTTGTCTGGGAAGAATGAAGCAGTCTCTTTCAACACGGCTAAACAGGTAATAGACATCTTCTAAACTGGTACTGCTGACCAACCAGTGTTGTGGTGTCCAGTAGCAGTCAGTACCATTATCCTCTCCCTTTCTTCAGTTGAACCCATTGTTGCTGTCTTTGAGCATCTAAAAATACAGTTTTCACTTTGCAAATGTACGTGTTTTTTACTGCTCATTATTAGTTGCTCTGCCTGCTGATAATGCCATGTCTGGCGGTAAAAGCAATTTACAGTCAAAAGAGTTGCCACTTGACAGCGGAACTCGCACAAGTTCGACGGCTTATGCTCTCTTTCTTATGTCTGCAACACTTTACTTCACTTTTACTGACACCGTTTTCTATTCTTCGATTTCGACTTGTGCCAATTGTAAAAATTGACATAGACGCTAGTTTATTCATCCGCAAAACATTGACAACAATAAAAAAATTTCATTAGCAGTCAATGAGCAAGTGAAAAATTTATTGACTGCCACTTTAGATGCATTTGTGCAAAATGCAATGCAGTACCAAACAGAATATGGACAGTCATCCTGCTTACTACAAAAATACTAATTCAGCAGTTAGATAAGCATAAATCAGTGTTTTCACCTCTATCTTTTTTCCTGTCCAGTCCTGTTTCTTACCCCGTCTCTCGCTTTGTAGTTGTCCTAATCGATTCAAAGAGGGAAACGTCCTCTCAAATCGAGAACTCTCCATTCATTTGTGTCTGTCTGTCTTGAGCACTGGGGGATGCTAATCGAATCAGTGCCGCATAATGGAGCAGTCCCGGGCACATAACAACGACACAATCATCGGACAAAGATTGTGGGACGTGATGCATTCGCATTACCGCATGCTTAATTGATAGACCGTGCACGGACGAGGCAAACAGATGCGGATAGATTGCCGATGGACGAGAGGTGACCAGCACAAGGGAGCAGGACACAAACTGCATCTATTCGAGTTAAAAAAAACAGTCGCCCAGTGAGACAGTGGCACGAAGTTAACTAACTCGCTCTATCTGTTTCTGTCTGTCTCTGTGTGCGTTTGTTTCGCTAACAAAGTATGAGAAGAAGAAGATGATGATAGAGATAACAGGCGACAACAGACAACAGGAAGCAACAGGGGAGGAGGGCATCTGCCTCAATTCTCAGCATGGCTCAATGCTATCGGCGCAACTGATCTGGACAACTTCTAAAGATTAATTCGATTTATTGTGATCGCTTTCACTTTCGAACATTGTCAGCTGCACAGGCGGCGATAAATCCCACCTCGGTGTTGCAGGTGGCGGTGGTAATTTGCCGATGGACATAGCGGATTGATGACACCAGCACCACCAGCACTAGTTGTTGATGTCTGCAAATGGAACAACAATTGTGGTGTTCTCGCTCTTGAGAAGGAGAAGGTAGAGTAAAAGAAGAGCAAAGTAAGAAAAAAAGAAAACAACAAGCCGCTGAAAAGCAATCTATTTTAGGATTGCTGCTCACTGGCAACGGCTGCTGTAAACTGATAAGAATCTGACACCATCGACATCGACTGACTGACTGTCTGTCTGACTGACATTACTGAAAAGCTTCCACTGAGCTGCTGATGGCTAAAAATACAGCCGACAACAGTAGAAAGTTAAAAGTTTGTCTGACTGTGTCCGTGTGTGTGTATGCACCGATTTATCGACTGAATGGTGAATGGCAATTGGGTGATTAAACAGACAGAGCTGGAACAACTGACTAAGCAGAGAAAGAAGGAGAAACAGATGGACGGATGGATGGCCGTATCTGTACCGATTTGGCACGCAAACTAAAACGGTGCAAAGGGAGCGATGGCGAAAAGAATAGACAACACTGACCGGGGACTACAATCTAGTCTGACCTAAAGACACTTGTTGTTGCTGTTGCACTGACCATAAAGAGATTGCAGCTCCGGGCAGTCACTGGACTGGACTACCACCACCACCAACACTAGCACCATAGTCGCACGGAAGAGTCTCCGAGTTTAACGGTGGATGCGCGCCTCCAGGCAGAGAAGAGAAATAAAGAGAGAAAGTGAGCGAAATTAGCAGTAGCACGAGCAGTGCGGGCAGCACCGTTGCTGATAAGGGCGATCTGGCCAAAGTGATCGACTTTGCCCGTGTCTTTAACGCCCGACGACCGTGTCTGCCACCGACTGCGCAAACGATCCATTCAAGCGAGAGAGAGAGAGAGAGAGAGAGAGAGAGAGCATACGATTAGCATATTAATATTATTATATTAAAAACGGCGGACGATAGTGCGGTAATACTGTGAAGGCAGCACAGTTGTGTTGCCCGACTTGGTGGGCGCCAACAGGTAGCAAAAATGGACTACTACTGCAGTTGTTGCTACGCGAGAAGACACGATCTACTGCGGGCGAGAGTGAGTGAGCCACTGTGCACACAGTTGTTGCACATTTCCGCGGTGATCACGCCAACGCCATCACCCATGCAGTGGTCAGCCAGTAAGTTAGTTAGTTAGTTAGTTAGTTAGTCAGGCAGGCAGGCAGTGCTCGACAGTAGAAGCAGTGGCTCATCATAGCTCACCTTTCTCCCCTGTTTGCTCATTGTCCGGTGGCATCAATCACTGGAGCACTCTGTTTTCCTCCAAATCGATTGCTCCGACCTGCTGCTGCTTGCTGGTAATCAGCCACTGAAAATAGGAAATGATCAGTACAGTACTGAATGATGACGAGGACGGTGGTTGCGGCGGTGGTGGTGGCTGTGACTGTGGTTGTGGTTGTGGTCGTGGCTACACTGTTCGATAACGCCAATCTGTTATCATCGAACACTGTCTCTTTTTCTCTCTATTACCTTGTCGGGATTATAAAGTGTGCGGTCGGGAAACTGTGCATTGCGAGAGACGAATAAAAGCAGAGCACTGCAGCTCTTTATCTCCCTACCCGACTATTAACCGCTGACGGTGTGCGGACAACCGTTTTGGCAGAGAAACTGCTGCAAAATGAATGTGAAAACGGCTAGTCAATTTTTTGGCGACAAATCGTTGACGAGTGTGCCCGTGCCCGCGCCGGGCACCAACAGGTGCTACTGCCAAGAAGTGTGTGTTTATCCGTGTCGCGTGTCATCGGTACGGTGCAGTGCTTCAGCTGACACACACACCGACAGAAACAGATTGCCAAGTGTTGTCCTCGTCATATTCAGCAATCTTTAATGACATGGTCGCGGCGGCCGAATTGACGACAGTTGTGTAGTCACATTGACTCAACTATTGGACTGCATGGCCTGCACACACTTGTTCTCCTGATCCACTGGCTGTGTTCGTGCTGCCCTATGTCTGCTGCTTGTCCCTGCCTGTCCGCAGTTCCGCCCGATGGCTAATGAGCATAAATAAATGAATAATTTATTTCATTTCGCAGTTAAATGACAATCGCCTGCTATTGAAAGTGCAAAAATGTACAATTTGACAGTGGAGAGAGAAGTAAGCGGATTGTCGGAGTTTGTTGTATGTTTGTGTATGTGTGATGGCAGACTTTAGGAGAAAGAAAAAGAAGTTTGGTTGTTACGATCAACGTTTGAAAGAAGCGCAGTGCAATCTCAGTGTGTGCATGTGTGTGCACTGCAAAGTGCTTCAGCTGTTTCATTTGTGTGCAAAGAGCAAACAGAAAAAAATTATGATTGGACCAATTGCCAATTTGCTTAGTACAACGCCAAAATAAGAGAAAGAGAGAAAAAAGAGGAGATTAAAAGATGAGAGTTG